TAGGTACCTTGTTGAATCCTCTACAGTCGTCCTCTGTGCAGTAAAACCTGATAAATAAACTGTGAAGTCCACGTATGACAAGCTGCATCTGAACGACTCGGCTGCAGTTCGAAATGATATACTAATCTATGAGAAGTGCCTGCAGCCACTACCATAGACTTGTGTGTAATTTTAAGCCGCAACCAAGTAATTTGGACAGGGCTTAATTTTGGCTTTGCTGTACACTGTACCTCCCTAAATGACGCTCAATCCCCTAAACTCTCTGGTGGCTTTGCCCGGATCAGGGAGGTTCAGAGTTAGTATTTTCAAATTCCTTTTTTCTGTTCAATATATACAACTTTTGAATTTTCAATCTCCACAGATGAAGATGCAGCAGTGAGCAAACTCTTGGACCTTTGTGTGGGTCTCTTCCACAAGATGGTGGACACATCCCAGCCCTTCCATCTTACTCTAATAAGTGTGTGCTTTGCCATGTTCCAGTCGCAGACTAGGTCGGCTTTGAATATTACCAAATTCTTCTCCCCAAGATCTGCAAAGAAAGGCAGTGAGAAGAGTATGTCTAGCGCTGAAAGTTTCCTAGAAACAGAGGAGAGAAACAAATCGAAGGCCTGTTCACAATCTACCATCGATATTCCCTCGGATTTGCCATCTACATCTGAGAGCGAGAAAAAAAATGTATATGTGCTAACTGAAGGGGTCACTCCAAGTGTAAATTCCAAATCAGAGGGCAGGGCGAGTCCGAGCAGTCATGACTGTCGACTCGTACCTTCGCTTCCCGCGAGTTACACATTAAATATGAGTTTGTCTAACAATGCTGAAGGGGTCAGAAATTCCGTCAGTGAAATTGACCACAGTTTGGTAACTGTAAGTGAGCGGCAGGGGTGTGGTACTTCATTAATCAAGGGAGAGAAGACGGCAGCAGTTTCCAAAATGCCATCATTCTTTGCTCAGAAATCAGACACCCTTTCTTTGTCACAGCCAAGGGTTAGAGTGAGTCAAAACTTGCCGACAGTGGATGGCAGAGATTCTCAGGTTCTCTCAGGGACAAGACCATCATTGGATAAGGAAGTATCGGTTGACAGTGCTAGCTCAAGAATACCCGACCAGCAGCTGTCTTTGGCATCAGGGGACCGTGATGTTGCACCTTCCTCCGTGCCCCCCAACATTGACCCTTTGGTATTCGCGGAACTCCCTTCAGAATTGCAACAGGAACTAACAAATGAATGGAGAATCACACAACACGATTCCATGTCTGGATCCCAAAGTGCATCCCACAAACCCACAGGAATCCCACAGGAATCTCTGCATACTGAGCTTGTTGGCATTGACCAGTCTGTTTTCAAAGAGTTACCTTCAGACATACAAAAAGAGGTCCTACAGCACCAGAAACAACACAAACGAACACTGTCAAGTCCTAAAACTCAGTCAACACTGCCAGTGAAAAGGCCCAGGACCTTTGAAACACGGACCAAAGAAAACACTGGCAAAAGGAGGGGTATCCAGGACTTCTTCCACAAGAAGTAATGCAATATTAGACAAATAGCGTAAACATGTACTGTGAAGTATTTAACCCTGCGACGCGTTTGCAATTTTTTCTCACAGCGCTGCAGCGGCTCCTCTTTCGTTGAGTCCATCCATTATTTCTCTGTTATTGTTGTGGTTTGGGCCCAAATTCTGTTCTAAAGGGATCAGAATGAGTAGGTAGGCTCCCTCGACTCATATGGCTATGAATCATTGCACACAATTAGTTTCCAAAAATTTTCAGGTACTTTTTTTTGGGGGGGAGGGGACAGCACAAGAATTACGGCAGAGTGTATTTGCAACACGTGTGCAGGAAAATTGAAACATGTATTATTCTAACAAAATATCCCCTAAATAGACTGAAACTAAACTCTGAAACCATAGAGCTACAAATTCTATGAAAAAGAAAGGAAAAAATAGTAGCCAAACTGTCAAAAACTGAAAATATCATTGAAAGTACATGTAAACCCTGAAACTGTACAAAAGCCAAACTGTACTTTCAAAACCCAAAAATTACACAGCGATTGAAACTAAACAGACTGAAAGTCGGAAACTGAAAGTGTACCAAAAAGCAAGCCAAACTGTGATTGCAAAACTGTAAACAGATGGAAACTCTGAAACCGAAACAGTCCAAAACTAAAAACTGTAATAGCAAAAAGGATAGAAATGGCACCATATCAAAGACTAAAATTTGCCCCCCCCCAAAAAAAAAACCAGAAATAAAGAAAGAGTGGTTGATATTGTTTGACAAAGCATGCAAGTTCTGTAACGGATACAGTGGTCAAATGTTCCAATGTTCTTGGATTGGTACAGTTACTCAGCTGACAAGCACTCAACGCAGGTGATGGTTGTTGTCATCTTGGTGGTGCTGTGCTGCTTGCAGGCAAATCTGGAACATTCCAAGCAGCGACGCCTGGTCCTCTTCCGGTTGCCGGTGGGGCAGTAAGCGCACCTTCTTTGCGGTGACAGGTCCTGGGGTGGGGGAGGTAGGGGAATGGCTGGGAACTGGACATCGAACCCCACAGCTTTGATGGCCCTAATCACGGACGTGGGTAGTCGATGGGGCTGTTGCATGCGAGTCACGATCTGTGGATTGACGAGTTCCCTGATGAGCAAGTGGGTGAAGTTGTGGCGGGTTCTGTCCTCACCACGCAGACCAGGGTTGACTTGCAGGTAGATCACAAAACTGTTGATAACGGCACAGTTGAACAGGTGGTAAAATACCACCATAGGCCAGCGCTTGGTGATGCGGGCACAGTTATATATAGTTATAAAGAATATAGTATTTAATATTGTTATATAAAGAACATCTCACCATAGTTAAGAACTGTACATTCAAATTTGGCATTTTTAAAGAATCAAATGTTTTTAAAAGTCAACAAATTTTAGGACGATTGTAAAAAGTCCATTTCACAACTGCTTGCAAGTTACTTGTGCTGAGATAAAGTCTAAAATGTGCGTTACTATGACATCAACTGGCTGGCCAATATCTTCAGTTAAAATTCTTATCCCTTCCTCTGGGGCTGGTTCTTCAAGAGTTTCAAACTGGGAATCAAGTAATGCCACTGGCATGAAGTGGCTGTCTCGACCACTCATCCTTGAAGAAATGACCTCCCTGTCTCCTTTAAGATGCACAAAGGTTATGCTGTCCATGAAAGCTCGTTTCTTTGTTGGCATCTCTGGGCTGAAGCTGCTGTCGTGTCTTACCGAGCATTTCTGACGGACAGCTTCCATCTGTCCCGTGCACAGAATTTCTCTGTAACTCCTCTTCAAAGCAGAACAGGCTAAAACGCCACCCTGGTGGTTGATTCTCCAGCTGAAAGAGGAAGTGGACAAGCTTATCTTGTACATTTCATGAAGTATGTGAGTTTATAATCCTTGTACTGGTACACACAATGTAATGACAACAGATTAGATAGAAAACGGGCATCTTTTTGTGTCTAACTGGGTAAGAAAAAACTTTCAAAAATCTGATCTGTACAATGCACTTCTTATATTTTGATTTCCTTTATCCACACCTAGATATCTGTTTCATCCACACATAACTGTACTGATGGACATGGCCATCATGTGGGTACAGTTTCCCCAGAATCTCTATTGGTATTGAAAGTGCAAAATATCTCGTAGGGCTTTCACTGATACATGTAAGTAGTTCAAAATTATCGTACATGTACGAGGATATCATGATTTACCTTTTCAGAATGTGATGTAAGGTAAGAAGCCATCCATGCCTGTCCTAGGGAATTGAATCAAACAGTGAGGAAGAACTTGGAGAGACTTGGGGGAAAAGAATTGCCAACCAACTACATTTTACTTCATCAGAGGGGAGAAATCTAGCTAAACATTCTAAAGATTCTATTCATGGTGAGACCAAGCCTGATATCAACTAGCTGTGTCTGAGATCAATGCACATTCCAATGGTAAATGGCTTTAGCAGCTAGCCAGTGGCTTCCAGTTGCCACGTTACAGGCTTTTTCATATGATCAGCCATAGCCACTATATTCAGGCATGGCCTCGTTTCACTGTACACAACAACATATTGATGTAGAAAGACATTTGAAAGTTCAGACCTTTATAAAGTTTCTCGAGTTGTGGTTGGTGAATTTTGTGACTAGTGTAAAAGGAATTCCAAATGTGTGACCTACTGTCTTAAAACCACCTGTCCCAACAGTTACATTGGAATCAAAACATACTGGCATGTAGGAAAAAAAAGTTTATGTTTTGTATACATGCAGGTGCTACTTTCATATCCTGTCGCATATTAAACCTTTTCATTCAAACTTGAAAAATGTTGTTGCTTGTGTTTTTCTCACAATATCAGATAGGTATATCTTCAGCCAATATGACATGCAGTCAGATCTGACCGCACTGCACCCACCTCATCAGTCAGGGGAATTCCCTTTGCCATTTTTTGTTTATTTGTCTCAGGGTGGTGATCATCAGCATCTATAAATTCCCAATCAGCCTGTATGGAGGCAAAATATCAAGCACTGGAATTACTGATAAAATGTTCAGATTCTGTGACAGTTTTCGATTAAATTGTGGAGTTTAATAGTTCAAATGCTTCACTTACAGTTTTGGCGAGATGTCTGCCAACGGTAGATCTGCAAAGAGAAATAAAATACATGTATATGATTCTGAGTATGATAGGTTAATATGGCACGTCAGTACCTATTCTGCAGTAAAGGTAGCTTTGTTCCAACAACTGATCCCTGTTAGTATCATGGCTATGCTTTGGCTGGCTCACTGAATAACCATTGTAACTGTTATGTGTACAATGCATACTCATAAACCCTACACATTTTGTTACGAAATAAAATTGAGCAAACTATGTTCGCCAAAGACTTCCAATTACTATTGTTATGGCTTCTCTTTTTCCTACTCTTTATTTTTTTTTACGTGCATGTGTCCTTCAAATTACTCAACTGATGTGTATTGAGACACTGTCACCGTGTACATAAGTAGTAGCGTAGTCAACGTGCTCACTGCATAGCAGGGCTGACAATGTGCATGTACATATATCATTGATAAATGCGTCCATCCACATGGTACACAGAATACTACACAATCACCACATTTCCTCTTTCGCAATTTTGGCACGTTTAACTCGGCCTACTATTAGACATCTCCATAGTATTTCAAACCTTTATCTGTGCACAATCAATGTTTTCTTTTTCAGATCATTTCATATGGTACATATTGTCTTTGCAAATACATTTGATGGCCGAATAAATAATCATAAAAATCATTAGCCGCATAGCAGGAGAGGCATCTGTGGCCCTCGTGCTATTTAATGTCGGTGACTGAATATGGTCGCCAGGTCCCTTATTTCACCAAAACTGACTTGACAGTAGGCCTATGTGGCAAAATTAGGGACTGGCAAATATACCGTCATGAACACTTGTGACATTGGGAAATAAGTGAATTTCCCGCTGTCTAGCCACCAAGCATTTGAGCATTAGTTACTCATGTACACCCTAGTTTTTTTCCACTTCATTGCATCTGATGAAGTAGTTGTTGCTAAGTGCAGCATCTTATGTTAAGTTGGTCAATGAAGTGCTACCCCCGGGCCATTTTCCACTGATCATGTACACTGATGACATGTTAAGATGTAGTACATCAAACAGGTCCCAAGTGTGACCGGAACCAAAGAGAAAGGATCATCTATCATGTCTATGCTGTCGTGGCTGTGACTGCAAACCAATTAATTAAGGAAAATGCACAATTCCATCATCTATCTGTCCACGGATGCATCCCTCCAAATATTTACTTGCCGCTTCCACAGACACCCATCAACACAACTGCCATTGCTGTTGTTTCTTTGCTCTATCGATCAACGTTCCTCAGAAGTCAGATTCATCATTTGATTTTGAGGGGATGACCTTGCTATAAACATGCCAAAAGCTACATAAAGTGTTTAAAAGATGCAGGCTACATGCAGCTCCCTGATGCCCAAACTCTATATTTAGTAAGAAAGAAATACTCAAACGCATGGGGGCGTGTTTAACTTTGTATTTTCCTCTTAAATCCATGCAACGGAAGTATACAAACGGTATCGATGCGTGGATGCATGGTACGCCAACCATGCCAAGGTACAAAACAATACGCAACTGCAGGCATCGGTACTGTCCTGCTGACGCATATATTCTAGAAGAAAGATCAGTGTGGAGAATTGCCGTACCGTGCGAGTAGTGTAGATTAATGCTAAAAAACCCCGATTCCTTGGGGATGGTTTAATATTTGTGTGTTAAAAATGTGACACATCCATGGCGCGAGTATTCCAGTGCACAGTTAAAGTGCTTGATGATCAGGCTGAGGCTGTTGTCGTCGATTTTAAGGTGGGTCTGGTTGCCAGGGAGTGCTACTGGCACTGCTGGTTTTGTTTGTGCCTAGGCCTAGCTAGGCCTATAGGCTATAGTATATTATTGTATTACTAGTAGGCTTATACTGTACTAAATACAATGCTACCGTTAGTTAGGCCTAGTGCCTGCGCCTTTGTTAAGGAGTCGGGCACTTTTCAGGGTTTTTTTTTTGTTTGGCCCCCACAAATGTACCGTTGGAAAGAGATTTTCAAAAGAAATTGAATGGTATAAAATTTAGTTCAATAGCTGTTAGTATAGTGATTTTTTTTTTATTAAATTAGGAGGCGCCTAGGTCACTTGGTGTAATTACTAATTAGTCCGTATTTGAACCACATGGACTGTCTTGTTCCTCATTGGTTCCACTTCCAGACATGCCATAGTTGGACAAAGATCTGTAGTTAAGTCACAGAAGAAGTATAAAGTAAACAATATTTTTCATTATGGAGAACTTTATCAATAATAAACATAGGATACATGTACATACAGGACAGTTGAGTTGGGCTTGAAATATTTTGTGATGTGTGAAAGATCACTGAAGCGTAGTTTTGATGTGATATTTTGTCAACAATATAAAATATACATTTAGCTATAAAAATAGGGGACCAAGTCTGTCAGATGTCATAAGTTACTTTAAGTCTGTTCATGTTTGACATGGTCTTTTGATAACATTTGATTAAAACAACGTGTGGTTTATGCACTTGTTATTGCACCTTGCTCCCCGTGCACCTAGCCCCACAAATAGGGCTGTAGTGGCTCTCTTTTACAATCTGTCTCTTTTCTGTCGCAAATGTGTGGATCGTTGGTGAAGAGAAGCATACTGAGTAAAATAATTGATTAATGCCATCATAATGGGTGTGTTGATGACTTGTGTTTTATTTTGCTAATTTGACAATGAGGGTAATTGTTTTTGTACCATTCAATTTTGTTTTCCACAGAATGGTACAGTTTTTGATTGAGTATTTTTACCCAGCCAGACAAAAGTTTACCTATACTTTTATATACTGTACCTACCATACATGTACATGTACATTGTGCCATTGTGCAACAGAGTACTTACATGTAATTAAATTAAAGTCTATTTCATTTGTTACTTTTCAGGGAAAAAAAAATTAAATTTTAGTTCTAGGGGCTGCTTTTCACATCCCACTCCCTAAACCTGCAACATTGACATTTAAGCTTTTACCAGGTAGTACAGTGGTACATCACTGTCTATGGTGATTTTCTGGGGCTCTTATTTTGCAATTCGGGGCAAAATCACCCAGAGCCCAAGGTGAATTTTTCCCCGTCACTTTTCCTTTTTGTGCTTGATTTGTCTTACGGGATCCATGACAAAATAACCAAACAAAACCAAAAAAAACAAACACAAGAGTATGAGTTTTCAAAAACTTGTAAAGGAGACGATGAACTACATGTTTAATGAAGCCCTTTGGGTTGCAGTTGTAAATACATGTACATGTAGTTTTGTACAGGACAAGTGCAGACAAGCTCTTCCAGATGTCATCTTGTCAGCCCGTCACTGCAGTGAAATACAGAGGCTTTTTATGGACCAATTTTGTAGAGTTGGTCATGTACATGCATCACCAGAATTGATGTCAAACTATTACTATTTGTTTGGCAGGTAATTTTCATTACTTTATCACTCTTGGAAATTACCGGTAGAAAATGTGTTCTGATCTTACAAAATCACGTGTCAGATGTGACAGGGACATGAAAACAACGGACCCTTTCATTTCAGGAATTATCCATGTACATGTTCGGTTCCTGTACATGTACTCACTTGGTCGCAAAGGCAGAATTAAATACATATTTTATAATATCCCAGCCTTTTTTTAAGTGAAACCGGATACCAGCAAAATATACACTTTATTTTTAAAAGGGCAATAAGTACGGTCCATACATTCTCCAGCACCTGCACTTGTACTATCACATGCAAGGTCCCAGGCTGGACTGAAACGAAGAATTCCATATGGATGCCACATGACACTCTGTACCCAAACTCTATGAGTAAAAGACGGTGGAGTTTGGGTAAAGATGGAGCTTCCAAGATGAGGGTTGGGTTTTTTTTCTACTCTACTTCACCGTATCAGGTTTTAAATACCAGTACTTGTTAGAATCAAAGAGGAAGAAAAAAATCCATTACAAATTTAATGTCCCAGCATAAATGAGGCTGAAAATGGGGAGCCAGCAGAAAGCAAAAAAAAAAGAATTATTCGTGATAAAGTTCTACATGTACAATGTAGTCCTTCTTGAAATCATTACATTATTACATGGAATTTTTCATTCATTGCAGGAAATTTTTCTCACTAAGTGCCTTTACAGTGCGTACCACCTGCTTGCTTTCAGATGCATTGTCCATGCACTAGCTGGTACATAAACGTTAAATGTACATGTACCAATAGACTTTGTTTTTGTGTTCCACTTTTTTTTTGAAACAGCACTGTGTGTGGATGTGTAGCATTTGAGAATTTGTTTGAAAAGATATTTTGTTCCCCTCTAAAACGGAGCCTAAACATACATGTAGCAAGATCTGAACCAGCCTGTCCGTTGAGTATTCAAGTATCCACCACGTATGCACGTGTATGGTATGTATACATTGTACATGTAGGTAATTGGATATTGTGGATGTACATGGTACGTATTATTCCTCTTGCCTAGTCATGCTTGTTTTCACTTCATGCTGGGCATGTTATAGATTACATCCATGTACATGTATGTATTGCAGTTTAACTCCGTCAACAATGCAAATGACTTTCCCATCACTTGGAGGATATAAATAAAAATTTCATGGATATACTGGTACATGTACAAATGTTCGTGTATCGGTAGTGTACATCGATTCCCTGACCAAGTTGGCTAACGTACATGTGCATGTAACAGGCAATACGTGGGCATGTAAATAAACATGTACAGGTCAGCAGTACCGTCATGCGTTCTGTGCATTCTAATATCTTGCAAACTTGGTAGAGCCTGTGCGCTCATCAAATGAATACAGTGCACCTGCATATGTACATGTACATGCATGTATACACCATTCAGTACCGGTACATTGTACCGGTACGTACGTTGTACATGTGTATATGTGCATGTGTATATGTTTTGAGAATTCAACAAAACGATGAAATTTTGTAACAAAATTATGTGGATTTTTTATATTATTTTGTTTGTTTTTGTTTTGTATTTGAAAAAAGACAGTCATTCTAATTAAAATAGACCATTCTCTAAAAGCTTCACATTGTCACAGAACATGCATAATTAAGTTTTTATTTGCTTTTAGAACAAGACACAGACGTGACAGTTGTCTGTGTCTTGTACAGTTCTGGGCAAGATACTTTCAGTGCATGTAGTCATGTACATGTACAGTGTGTAAATTTATATTGGTTATCCAACAGTATGCTACGGTATCTTGCCTTGCCTGTATCTTCTCAATTTTCAGGTATCGACCGTTGTTTAAATTTTTTAATAGCATTTCTGTCCCTGGCTGTCACAATGGTACATGTATGTTCATGTATCATGCTGACACTACACGTAATATATGTGTACATATACATCACATACATGTAATGTACATGTACAAATGTACACATGTAAATGTTTATGCACACACTCACTTGTACAGTGCACTGTTATGAACACTTTGATTTCCATACTGAACTGCCTAACTGTGTAACCTTTCAGAAGAATGGCAGGAATCCCATTAGTTGTCACATGGGAAATGATGGACAACTGTTTGTCTCCCTACTCATCTGTCTGTGTCCGCACAAGATGAGGAGGCAATTGAAAGCAAACCTTTGGTGATTCGACTGAATGAGTACAGTGTAGAGGTGGATTGTTACAATGTATGACATTAATGTGATGACTGAACAAGTGTGTAATAGGGAGACCAGTTGACATGTGCCCGTGATACCTTCACAAAGTTGTTGGAAACTTTAAGATTGATCATTTAACATTCAATAAATATTGAATTTGATTTACATGGTAAATGCAGGGGTCGAAATTAATGGTGATCCGCTGGCCTGAGGCCAGTAGAAAAGTCGGCAGACCAGCTGATCTAATTTACTTGGCAAATTTAATAAAATATTGAACTGGAAAAAAAAAATCTGTGTGCATTGTGACCCAAATCAGTTGCACATGCATGTACCGTAATACAGAATGTACGTGTACATTGAATATTCCGGTAGTCAGAGTTTGAATGTGTTTCACTCTAACTGGTAAATGTGATTTCAAGAACTTTGTCATGGTCGTTTTTCAAAAAGGAATTTTTAAAACAGTACAAAACTTTGCACACGGACAGCACAAGTACCGCTACATGTACATGTACACAAACAATACATGTATGTACATTGTACATGTACACTGTCCATGTACTGCAGGTTGTATGCCATTTTCACAATACATTGTGTATCTGAGTTTTCATGCAGTGTCCTGTTGGTCTTTGATGCCGTGGTGTGTATGATAAAATGAATGTGCATCGACAGTATCACAATAGTACAATATACATAACTATAGTTACTAAAGTTTGGTTCAAATCAACTTAAACTTTTCAGATGTACTAAACGCAGATGTAATGTACATGTATGGTGCATTGTACACTAGGGTAGATGCTGTTCATTTTACCAGTGACTTTCCCGTGCCTCTCCCATCGCTGAGTTCACAGAGGTACATGTATGGAACACGTCCAGCCAAAGAAAGCATGCTATGAGTTGCTTTTCGAAAGTTGTTGAAAACATCTCCATAACTACTCCAACTTTGTTGTCTCTTGTGCAGAAGGATGCCAAGGGCCAGTACTTGCTTGATGAGGCCTGTAGCCGACAGAACCTGGCTGAAAAGGACTACTTTGGCCTACGCTTTATCGATGGAGAAAAACAACGGGTGAGGAGAGTCTGTGAAGTGTGAAACAAATATCAGTAGCTTTTTAAAGTTGAAGGTTTGGGGAGAAATGACAGTGATGTGGGCAAGCCCTGTAGCGCACGATGTGTTTTGTAAATATGGAATTTTTTGTGCAAAAATAAAATTACAATCTTTACTGATTGCTAGGATGGTTTTGAGTCAAGTTCATTAGAACAGTTTCTGTACCGTATGTTCCAGAGCAGTGCGGCCTGATGAGGTTTTGAAATATTGTTTGCCTTCTTCAATTTTTACCACAGCATTGGCTTGACCTTAGGAAAAGCATTGTGAAACAGCTCAGAGGTAAGTGTGATGAGAATGGACATTAAAATGTAAATGATACATGTAAATCATATAAAGTTGACTGCGCCACTTGAGTACTTGTATACGTGTATGTACGCATGGACATGAATGTTTGGAGCCATCCTCACTGCAGTTCGTTCTTCGAGAGGGTGGGCAAATATGAACCTGACACAAATTTATGACTCACAGCAAATATTTGCAGTGTGAATTCACAAAACTTCAACACATTTTAGGACAGAAAACATTTGCTGGGTAAGATCTGTTATGTATGAAGTTGCTGTCTTTGCAATGAACAGGCTTTAAGTTCCTAATACCATGAATACATGGAATGATATATTGGTCATGTTGGTGGGACAGACAATTAATTAGAGCACCGTTTCTTTGATAAGAAAGTACATGTATATACATGCAAGTCTAGTCAAGCACTGTGAATCAATAAACTCTAGCCTTGGTTCAGAAGGTTTTGCGCTTACTTTCTGTTGGACTCGAGAGTTAAGTTGTTAAGAGAATGATTGTAACATCAAATAAAGACTTGGACAATTAGTATTCAGAAAATTACTAGTGGTTAGAAGTTCTTTACACTAGTTCCTGCTTTAAACGGAATGATGCACATTTTAATCTGGAGCTTCAAAGCTACTGGTAGACAACCCAAAGTCTTAAGCTCTAGTTTGATAGTTTGTGTGTATAGGCACACTGATCATGCTGATGGGGCTGACCTCAGGCATGCGAATGAGTGATGTTTTTGAAAGACCTATGACGGGCTTCATTTTTGGCGTGTGCCGTTGGAATAGTGGACTGGTTCATTCTGAGGGCTTTATCTTTCCAATAATCGATATGTAGGCACTGGCCCACCGTACACCGTGGTGTTTCGCATCAAGTACTACCCAACAAACCCGGAAGACCTGAAAGAAGAAATCACGAAGTACCAGCTGTTCTTGCAGCTCAAGAAGGATTTGTTGCACGGACGGCTGTCTTGTACCAGTGAAGATGCAGCCTTACTGGGATCCTACATTGTGCAATGTAAGAGAGACGAGTCAACATTACAGTATGAACTCTATTGGGCATGTCAGGGAATACATGTACATGTGTCTTCCTGTGCAGTGTACATGTACTCCAGCAACCAGAATTTGGTGGCACAGTGCTCCTAGATGGGCGATATGCATGCATTGCACACTATTTCGACCAATGAAACATGAATTATCGAATGCACATGTGCGGCAGGCTTGAGAACATGCATGTGTGTGCTATGTCACTGCAGTAATGGTATCTTCTTAAATCTGACCATAAGGGGCTGATCTGAATAACACCCCAGCAACAATACTCGGATACTCTACGTAGTTGCTACTAGAGAAATTGTGGGGCTGTGTGTGACACTGGTTAGTCCTAGTATTTCTGCTCCTTGGACTGTTAGAGTCATAATCCCCTGCAATCATGACATTCTTGTATTGCAACTTCTTTTATGCAAGAAAAAAAAAATGCAAAATGAACTGAGTGAGCCATGTTGAACCATCTTGGGTTTGGTATGTTGGCACTTGTTCCAAGTTTTTGATACCAGGTTTTTATACTCGTTTTGTCCCTTTTCACTCTATTCAAGTTTTATTAAAAAGACATCTCCTGCAGTCCGTTGAAAATTAAACTGAACTGAAAAAAGTGTTCATGATGTTTTCATTCCAAATATAAGCCAGTGAATCAAACCAGCGCCTTTGATAGATTGTACAGTGTGAACTATCTCATGTTTCAGAACCACCAAAGCGATTCTTATATTAAAATATTGTACAGCTTGCAAATATAATTTTGTATAAACCATCTGTTTAGGGGAGGAAGGTAGGGGACGTACGTGTACATGTGGGGAGGGGAAGGGAATCGAGGAGAAACCAAGTAAACTTTCTCTGTCTGTCTCTGAATCGGCAGCCAACCTGAGAGACTATGACCCAGAGGAACACCCACCGGGCTATGCATCAGGGTTTCAGATTGTCCCCAAGCAGACGGTGAAAGTGGAGGAACGAATCGAGGAGCTGCATGAGAAGCACACTAGGTGAAGCTTCATTGTGTCTGTGTACCGGCTGCTTGCAGTGTGTGTAGACTGTAGATGTGTATGAACGCGAAGTTTTGTTCTGAAGGGTGAGGACTAGAAGAGGCATTTTCATCCGTGTTTTATGGCTTTAAGCGATGTCTCCTCTCCCTCTGAGCAAAACTGTGGATGTTGGTCTTTGTTTATCGTGATCTTTGGTCAGGGGAAGGTGAAAATGGAAATGTTTGTGTTAAACAACTGTCCAGTCATTTTTCATTCGTAAAAGAATGCTCCCCCGAAGAATGATGTCGTACGCGTGTTATGTGTACCTTTTCTCACATGATTGACTCCTACAACAAACAAAAAGCCAAAGAGCCAATATGTCGGGGGAGAGGGTTATCCAGTGGAGCCCTGACTGGATATGCCACTGATGTCACTATTTTTAATGAGTTGTCTTTACCAACTCCCCAAGCAGTATTATGTGTTTTGACAAATATTAACACAATTCGCGATGAATTCCTTGTGCAGAGGACTGAAGCCCAGCGACGCAGAGTTTGCCTTCATTAAGAAAGCATTCAGCCTTGAAACATACGGGATTGATCCTCATCCTGTGCGGGTAAGTTCATCATGAAATGTTTGCATAAACAGGCAGCAACCAAAGCAGTAACCACCATGTGCTTCTTATACTCTCTGCTACTTGTTTTCCTTCGAGAACAGCATTAAGAGCACTTAGTGCTAGGATCAACTCATCGTGTCTTCACAGGTTAGTGTGTGACAAAGTGGTCAATTCAATCAATTATGGTGTCAGCACATACAGGTACCTGACTAGAACCATTCTTTGATACAGTGTTTGAAAGACTATTTGTCCGAGTTGAAAAACCAAGCTCGGTTGAATTCAACATCATGTATTGCAAAAGTGATGCTTAATTAGAAGCTGGTTAATCAGTTCATGTCATAACTTGGCATGTCATAACTTGACAAACTTTCTCCTTTTTGGCTAGGATATCTACGGCACTTCTCTGCACATTGGCATGAACCACACCGGTCTCTTGGTGTTCCGAGCTAACGCTGTGGTGGAAACATTCAAATGGGACGACATCAAGAAGTTCAGCTACGAGGGACGGACCTTCTTCATCCATGCTTTAATATCAGAGGTGAGATGGATTTACATAGATCGAATAGTACTTCTGTTATCGGTCTAAGGTGGTGACATTTTCTCCTGCACGCCGAGACTGGCAGCTGTCTTGTTCATGTTGGCACTGTGCTGCAGGTGTGCTGGCTAAGACAAAGTCTCATAGAATTAGGCTACATCTGGACTATTTGGCGACAGTAGGCAATACTGTGTGTCGCTGCGGAAGCCATTGGCCAATCGATGGCTTTTAACATATTCCATAGGTATGCATGTAACATCTAACCGCAGCCGAGCATTATGGACACAGTCATTCAGGAGAGCTGGAGTAGCTAGATTTGGAGGGTGGAGCTTGTTTAGACGGCTTCCTATCCTATTCACATAATTGGAACTGAATTATGTCAGGTTCACAAGTGAGAATGCATATACCTATACACTGTATGCAAAACTTTATACTTCATGAAAAAGTGGAGGTGATTTCGCCGAGCTGAACTGTATTCAACTTCTGCAAATTTTAGCTATGAATTTGGATTTGAAGTCCCAAATTTTACATTTAAATCTTCAAGTTGAGAATAAACTGACATTAATGCTAGACAGACTTGCCCGCCTAACTTTGCTGTAGAGAGTTATTAAGGTATGCTGACATAGGCATTTTTGAGTTTCATGAAACCAATGTCTGATATTTGTAATGATGTATTTTCATGCAAATGAGTAAAATGAGCGAATTTTAGATAAACATAATAGCCAAACGTTGTCACAAAGTGGACATTTTAAGCCATTTCCCACTTACTTTGTCTTCCATCGTTAAGCACAAGTTTTCTCAACAATATTGCTAAGGATTACAGCCAAACTGCGTAGTTATTTGCCATGGGGCTTGGATGGTAACCGACCACTGGAACATTAAGAAAGAAACTGCCTTTGTGATTGCCTGCCCAAATGAATTAAGTGTGATTCCATGTTTGACTACAGAGACGAGTGAATCATGGCTTTAGGTTACCAACATCAGCAGCTACAAAACATCTCTGGAAGAGTGCTCTAGACCTCCAGGCTTTCTACAAGTAAGTTCCCACTTTGGAGATTGTGCACTCCTTTCTTTTCTTCTTAGTAATGCCCCTATATCTCATTAAAAGATTAAAATCTGGCAAAGTAGAAGGCTTTCTTGCATAAGAAGGGAACAAAGGACAACTTTCACCTTTGCAGTAGTTTTAATGTCTCGGTGGTGTTCTAGAGGGAAAATAATTTCAATCACTCATGCGTTTTTTAATGACAACTGTCATGCTTGTAACTTAAAAGGCATATACATGAAACATTATCTGCAGTTTTTATGCAATCGCACCTTATTGTCTTGCAGTGTCGTTTTTTTTTTACCAAATTGACATAAAATGACCAACAAAATGACAAAGAATGCATGTAGTGTGCAGCTGTAGATGATCTAATTCAGTCAAGATACAATTTTAGAGGGATTTAGGGGTTTTGTACTGTACATATCTTCTACTCTCTCTCTCCTCATGTACATGCATTTTGTTTGAGTTTGACTTCCTAAAATAGACATTGTATCGAAAAAAAAAGGACGTAAAATGAAGAGCCCTTTTCTCCCTCCAGGTGCCCAAAAGGTGTTTCAAGGATCTTCTCTGAGTCCCTTTATGCAATGCAGACTTCCACAGTTTTTGAGTGGATGCATAGGTGTTAACAGTAGTCATGGGTCTGCTTGTTCTCATAAAAGGTCAATGTATCAAGTATCTCTATTGACTTTAATGCGTACAATGGTGGCGTACCCCGGAGACTTGAGCTTTGTCAGAAAATATGCCCAGCTTACCTGTACATCATGTACATTTCCTAAGCACCTGTCTTTATGCGCTATGTACATGTACCAGTACCAAACAGCATGTACCGGTACATGTACATTGTACACATACATGTACATGTGCATTAAAGTGAAGTGGAAAGTGTAATGTGCACATACGAGTACATGTACCGGTACATGTATGGTGCATGTTAATTAATTGAATGGACTAGGGTGATTATGTCGTTGCATACAATGACAGGTGTTGCTTATGAACTTGGCATGCATGGCCTGTACCACTACCGGTACATACACATAAAATATAATGTGCCATCAGGCCGTAACTCTGTCAGACATGCGTTAGCCCCTGTGTCTAGTCTTACTTGTATCTATATTTTTGTGAGTTTAATATCATGTCTTAGAATTGAGAGCATCACAGCATTGAATTGGGAGGCCTTCAACACATTGAGAAGAAAATGCCTTTTTATATGTGGAATGTAGAAGCATCAAGCACTTGTATGTTCTGTGAATAGTATGCTCATATTTTGTAGAGTATTTGAACGAATACACATACATGTGTGCAGGCATGTGTACAGGGCATACAAAAAATCTGTTTGCTACATCCAATCTCACACAAACTTACAAGGCATTTGAAGTGCCGTTACCTTAAGTGTAGAGTTAAATTTTGTTTTGTAAATTTGTGTTGCTTGTTTCTTTGTTTTTTTTTATTGGTTGATATTTGCTTTTCCCTGAAAAATGTCTGATGTTGCACCAAACAAGTGTTGAGCTTACTGTACATGGGTCATTCCATGCAGTTGGAGCACAATTTGTGACCGGGTCCATTGTCGCGTGGGTTCCGTAAAAATGAACAGCTATTTCCCTGCATGGGGATTCCAAATAATACGTGTGCACATCTTGCAAGGCTGAATACAGAGGTGTGTGTTAGTTTTACAGAGTAAATGACCTACTCTACACTCTACGGGTCATGAAAGTTACATAAACATTCATTTCACATGTATGTGAAATAAATGTTCATGTAATGCTGTGCCGTAAGATAAGATAAGAATAGAAGTCCTAAAGATCAAACAACCACAACGGCGTCACCGTTTAACACTAAACAGACGTTGTTTTTCGTGTTTTCTGTTCTGTTGTTAGCTCTACATTTTACACACATTTGTGAAAGTTTTGTTGACTGTTTTGTAGTCTGCCTAGTTCTTAAAATCATCACTGTACTGTTTCCATTCCTACCCTTAGTCCGGGCATCCAGCGTCGTAGATCATCAATACTAGGGTAACGTTAGGGATAAAGCAACTGTATACATTGCACGTACAGTGTACTGATCGCATGGCATAGCATGCATTTGTCTACCCAGTTTCTGCCTGTTTAAACTTACCCATTTTCCTTGTCCTTTTTCTTTCTTTGAGCTTTTCTTTTGAGCATTTGTTTTCATTCATTCAAAAGGTTTTTCTGCCCTGAATCCAGACGTAATTGCATTCCTTCATGTCCCCATGATGCATGTGTGACATTATTATTTCCTGTTTTGACCTGTTTCAAGACTAGACTTTTTTGGATACCTGAGAGATACAGCATGCATGGTTGTCAAAGGTTGTCATTGTTTATGTGTATTTGTCCTGGAGGGACTAAAATTGCACCTTTTTAGTAAACGGTCATTCTATTTATGAAAAAAAGTGCAGTCCAGTGTCCAAAAGACAAGGTACCATACATATGAATATTATGCAGAAGAGACAACAGATCTCGAAAATTTGAAGTCAAAATCACAACAGACACAAGACTTGTTCAATAATTTGTAGAGGCTCATACAAGGAAAGTTATGTTATTTTGTGGGTCGTATATATGGTCGCGTATAACGCTACATACATGTACATATACAAACATGCTTCATGTAGTCATGATGTTCACTTTTTTTTTACAAAGTTTGATTCAAATCAAAAGTATCTCAAGTTGACAGCAAGATGCACAGATGGAATGACAGACCACCCCCAGCTTATGTATTTTGTATTTATGACGTACATTCAGATCTCCTTTGGCATGTATGGTAATTATTGCATGTCCTGCATGGGTTGAGCTGCTCTTCACAGTGAGAAACTATCAGTAATGACATGTCATTCTTGGGGAAATGAAGTACGTACACACATATGTTTTGTTCACCTTGCAAATGATCTGTTTTCCTGATGACTGACAACACATTACAGCAAGTATGTACTGGTACCGGGTAGATTTAGCTCTGGCATCTCAAGATGGTAGCTGAAATGATCTCAAAATGAACAGTTTTCAAAATGCGTCGACCATTTGCCCAATTTCAAACACAGGACATTTTGTGCTTGAGTTAGAGCCAATCACATTAAGATCAGTTTAATACCGTATAAGCAAATGCCCTAAAAGATAAAGAAAACAACCAAAACCAGGATTTTTATCCTTGAAGGAGCATTATTCCTCTTGAAATCCTTGGCCCTTTGTTGAACCTGTGGTTCTCAAGGTAAAAAAAAAAGCTCCCTGGTTGAAAAACCCTATGTTTAGCTTCCCCTTACCGTTTTGCATGTGCAGTGTGTTGGACCCATAGATTCCAGCTGCATCAGTCACATTTACATTCATGTGCATGTACATCATCATTTTATTGTTCTGTTTTCCCTCCTTAGATTTAGGCGGTCCAGCGAAGTAACTACCCATACCTCTGGTGGCTTCTTCAGAGGCAGTCGATTCAGATTCAGGTCAGGAAAAAGAAGAAAAGATACACAAAACTAAGGCCATCCAAGCAAACTTTCAAGTTTTGTTCTATATCATTTTATCAAGAATGGCTGATAATCAGTACTTCGTTCATTTACCACACTGTCATTTTCATTTCACACTGTGGCATAATAAGAATGTTGACTGGAACCATATTGCACTGGTATACCCGTGTACCATTTATTTTGCCCACACTGTGAGAGTATTTCACTACTACATGTACATGTGTTTTTGAAGGCTGATGTGGATTTTATGGGCTCCTAATGTAATATGCCATTAAAATGGCTAGAAGGTGCACTGTATGGATGTGATACAGTGATATATGTTGAAAATTAGCATACCGTGTGCATGAATCATTTAAATTTAACACTTTCTTGGTCAAAGGGTAACAGAAATTGAAAACATTTATTTCACAGGAAGTATTAAAAATAACATTGAATACGTAACCATTTCAAAGATATCGTAAATTGAATATTTTCCCCTTTTATTGACCCCAAGATTAATAAAAAGATCCTGCGTTTCCCTGTCTGCAAAAAATCCCCTTCTGGGCGTTCGCGCTCCAAGGCTGATTGGATGACGTCATCGCCAGAACACTGACATGCACAGTGTACATAGTGCACAGTACATGGCAGTATCGCACGCTTGCAGTAGACCACGTTGTTAGCTTGGCCCACAACCAAACACTGTCTCAGTTCAAGAAATACACGTTAGGACTGGGTCTTTTAATTTCTACCTTGAACTGAGACAGTGTTTACCTGTGAGACAAGCTACGTAAAACACAACATGGTCTATTGCAAGCTTGCGATACTGCATGTACTGTGTGATATATACTGTACATGTACACTGTACATGGAAGCGTTCTGGCGATGACGTCATCCAATCAGCCTGGGAGCGCGAACAGCCAAAAGGGGATTTTTTGTGGGAAGGGAAACTCAGGATCTTTTAAGTCATTTTTGGGTCACAATTAATGAGGTAAACATTAAATTTATGATGTTTTTGTATGGTTACGTATTTATTGTTATTTTGAATACTTCACGTGAACTAAATGCGTCCAATTTCTGTTACCCTTTGAATTCCTGTATTGTAGTACTGTGATTATGTATAATGTCAAACCAGCATTTTATAACACTGCCTAAGTGTTAACATTTGAATACTGAGGTTTTAATAGTGAAGGAAGCTTTGAAACAAATCCTTGCATCTCTTATTCCAAGACATACAAAGTTAATTGATGTAAATAAGTATCACAACATATGAGTACATACATGTTTGAGATGACGTTCTTTGACAGATTGCGCACTGTACATGCTGGAGTAACACAGCCTATTTCTGTTGGCAATCTTGACATTTTTCAGTGGTCGCACACAGCGAGAGGTTCGTGAGAAGAGTGCCAGTTTGAGTAGGGAGGAGCCAACGTTTGCTAGGTAAGATCACCTGCAGGTGCATTAGTTTCTTCAAATTGCAGACTGTAAAGGTTCCAGGAAAATGTTTGTAGGAAAAGTAGAGCTACTGTACATGTAGGTGTTCTGATATCATGAGTTCACTAAATAGACCCCCCTCCCAAAAGCACATGCACAGACCCTTTGCCATCTTCAAATGAAGAAAAAAAATTTAATTTTATCTAACAATTTGTGTGTGTGTTTGAGGGGGGGTTTGGAATGGAACATTTTTTCAATATAAGGGCAAGTAACAAAGTTTCTCATCAAGGTTTTTTTAAAGAGGTACGAGTAAGGAAAAGGAAACCTTTACCCAATTGTAACCTTTAAACAAGAGGTGACAAGACGATCTTCCTAATTATCATGGAAAAAAGGGAACAGTTTTCCCATTTATGATAGAAAAATGGGCTTCCACGAGTCACTTTTTGGCCGATTTAGAAACACTCATTATGCCGGTGACCCCATGGGGAGATCCGGCTGTAAACACGGTACATCTTCACATGCGAGTCTCGTGGTAAAGGCTTGCTCAAAATGCAAGGTTCCTGCGTGGTTCTTGTCCACTGCATTGATTGTTCCATATGTCAAGTTTAAGGGCATGATTTTGTTGTGTTTTTGTCATAAAATAAAACATGGCCTGGTCTTGTGTAGTTCAGACAGGAGTCTCGTATATTTGGAGGGAAGGGAAGATTTTTAACCTTCCCGGTTGTTGCAGATGAGTGATATACCAAGGATTGTGGGGGACTGCCTCAACAAATAACCAGTGTTTGCAAGAGCACTCGGAATTTAGAAAAGCGACGAATAAGCCTGGCCAACTGCTTGTATTGTGTTGCAGCTGCCTACTCTAATAAGTTTTTTTATTTTTGATTTGTTGCATATTTAGCCCAAACGTAAAAAACTTGGAAGCAGGGAAAAAACAGATATTGGCAAAGGTGACAGTGTACATGTACATACATTTACACGTACTTTAAAGTGTGATTAATCTTTTCTCAGGAGTCCACCTCTGATCAGACCTCGCAGGGCACAGTCCTTCAAGGATACAGCATTACATCCACCCAGTGACATCACATTTGATGGTCAGTTCAGTTTTACTCGCAACTAATTGGGGCCACTTGGAGAATCTTAGATGGGGACACAGGCTAGAGTTGGGAGATAAAGTGATCGTTCATTGTTGCCCGGAATGTACTGTTTGAGGGTTGGAGAGACGTGGGGTCAATATAGTGAATTGCTCTATGTTCTGATTTTTGGTTTTGGATTTTTTAGTGTCTCTCAAGTTCACATGGAAGAATTATCGCACACAGCTAGAGATTCCCTTTAACACACTATTTAGAACTATTTCACATTGGGTAGGTAGATGTATATGTACCAAGGCACAGTTCTTTCTCAGATCTCATCACTGAATCAAGGACAGAGGTTGGAAATATCACTCTGCAGCGGTGATAAACCTTGAAAAAAAACGGGAGAGCTTGTAGAATTTGAAAAAGAGTACCGAAGTGAATACGTCACGTGCACAATTAGTGTGTAAAAGGCATTATTGTGAGAACCAGCGCGTGAACCAACACCCGCGCGTATTCCATTCATTTGCACTGTACTTTCTGGTTCACAGTGACGTCACACTTCGGTACTCTGTACAATACATGTATTAAGAAATGGCTGAGCCACTGCACCGACCTGAATGCCAGAGGTTGATTTCCCGTTCTCCCCATCTGCAGGTTTTCCCCAGCTCTCTGGGTCTGATCATTCCACCCCCATCAAGGTTACGGAACCATTCATGACCTACGCCCCTGCCCCTCCCGACAGCACCGACGATTCGGACATGCATGCTGACATCGAGGACGCCATTGATAATGTCACGCCGATCATCGAAGAGGAGCCCATTGAGCTGCCAATTGAAGAGGAGACAGAGGAGGCCGTCCTGAGCAGTGAACAGGCATGGCCGGATCCAGACCTGCCCAGCAATCACGTGGAAGAGGTGCAGGAAGCTCCCATGCCGGAACCAAAAGAACCTCGGCAGTCCGGAGCCTGGACAGTTGTCAAGGTCACCCTCATGTGCACAGTCCTTGTTCTCGTCATAACAGCCACTATGCTGGTCATCCTGTACGAAACTGATCACATCCCAACCCTGGATCCCCTCCGACGTGACCAGTCTGTCAGAGACTTCTGGGAGGCCTACTACGTCCCCGTCCGTGCCTGGATAGAAGGTGGGCTAGAACAGATCGGACTGGCTTACCACCAGCTGCCATCGATTCAAGAGCTGAAGGGTCGCGTCGGTATCAATACAGACACTTGATCACTGACCAGTTCAGGATAGGCTGCTGAAAAAGACACAACTTGTATGGAAACGTCAACCTCTCCATTCACAGTAAGTCACTGTATTGACAAAGATCTCACTTCAGCACATAAGAAGATTGAAACGTCTTGAAAATGGATTATATCCCTATTCAGGTAATGTTTGCAAATGCGTGCATGGTAGGTGTTTGAATAAGGTTTTAGAACAGTCCCGAAATGACTGAGAGTTTTTAAGTGGTAGCACTCATTCAGAGTGTTATAAAATCAGTGAGACAAATTTCCAATAAAAATATAAACATTCTGTATAGAGTACTTTACCTGTAAGTTATGAAAATGATTATGAAGAAGTCCTCGATGCTGAACTACATGTAGATGGAACTTCACCTGTTTTCTCCTGCCAAACTTCAGGTTTGTGCTAGTATTCAATTTATCTTGATTGCATAATAAAATTGGAGACCTCGTTGAATTGCTTGAATCATGAATAACTAATTGTAGAAAGTGTGATGTGCTCCATGTAGCTCTGCGTAAGAGGCCTGAATGAGATGATGTTTCAACTTTCAAGGATATTTGCTCATTTTTCCAGGGAGTAATGATGACTGTACAGCTCTTTGATGCTCTAGATTAGGAAGTCGTGGTAGTGAATAAACACTGATTGTTTACGATTATCCTTTTTTTGTCTTTTACAAAATGCGGTGAGACTTTTGATTGCCGTTCAAGTGCAGTGGTTCAGACCGTGATGGGACTGGCTAACGTCCACCTTCTGAAAACGGGAAACTGACAGAAAGCTTTTAACTCTCCATTCACCACAGTGATGAATTCTGTTATTTTCAGAATTCTATGATTGTGAAAAATTAGTCAGCCAGATTAATTGGCAGGTTTAAACAAGTGTTTCAGAGTTCAATCCATTTGTGTATGTGTATCATTACAGTATACCTGCTCTTCCCTAGTATGATGAACTTTTAGAAGAAATTTGGAACACAAACAAAAAAGTAACATGAAAACAGCAAAAAAGGAGGCTGTTTCAGTTAAACTATTATTGCAGAAGTTTAGCGTTCAACACCTGGATATCCACGTTGATCCAGCGTAAATTGGTACATGTAGTTTTCCACTACCAAGTTCAGTGACATTCATCCCAAATACCGGTAGTACCTACTCATCTGACAATCAGAATTTGGTTGTGATTGTAAAACTCCTACAAAGCTTTACAGTAATCTCTTTGTAGGGGATAAAATGCAAGGTTGACCGAATCAGGGCAGGACATTGTCAGCTTCCTTGATTTCTAACTTTGTGTTTTAAGTGGATTATGCACCACACGTACATGTATATTGTCATATGTTACGCTTGCATGTATTTGACGAAGAAGCCAGCTATGGAACTGAACCCCCCCCTCCAAAAAAAAGAGACTCGTCCATCAACACTTCCTTGCATAAATTGTGTCAAATGTCTGTTTTGGTGTGTAAAATTTGTGTTCAGAAGAGCTAGGGGTTAAGATGAGATATCATATGTCGGTATGTGCCATTGACCAACAACATACATACATGCACACGAACAAAATGTGTCAAATTGCTGTTTTTCCCATGTTGGACTGAGGGCCTGACACCAGTTTTTAGAAACAAGGTTACCGCCCATGTACAGAGCACAGTGTACATGTATGTATAATGTTTATGTGTAGGATGCCCAATTGTGAACATTCCCCGAATAAAGACAAACAAGCAACAAGAAAGCTGCCCAAGGAAAAGTAAAGTCCAATCTGCACTGACTAAAACTTCCAAACAGTGTAGCACATTTTTGGGAGGCACGGTAACCAGCATTGACTTGAATTCCACATAGATAGATGAGCCATTGTAACTGCCAAAATGGCCCCATGGCCCATTATCTCTTCTTTTGTTTTCAGTTAGGGCAAGTTCAACAGTGTTGTCACTTCTAAACTTAGTTTCTGTACCCGGTGTATTTTGTATGAATGATTTGTGCAGACTGAAATATAATAGAGTGCAATTTCAGCATGCTTGGAGGGAAAAATCGGTTAACCCTAACCTTCCCCGA